CGCCCCCCATCTCCCTCTGAGCATCCCCACTCCTGCCATGCATCACATCTCCCTCTCAGCACCCCATCTCCCTCCCAACATTGTCTCCCCCTGAGCACCCTATCTGCATCTCAGCACCCTGTCTCCCTCTGAGCACCCCATCTCCCTCTCAGCACCCCATCGCCCTCCCAGCACTCCATTTCTCTCACAGCACCCCATCTCCCTCTCAGCACCCTATTTCCCTCTCAGCACCCCATTTCCCTCTCAGCACCCTGTCTCCCTCTGAGCACCCCATCTCCCTCTCAGCACCCCACTTCCCTCTCAGCGCCCCACTTCCCTCTCAGCACCCCATCTCTCTCTGAGCATCCTCACTGCTGCCATGCATCACATCTCCCTCTCAGCACCCCATTTCCCTCTCAGCACCCCATCTCCCTCCCAACATTGTCTCCCCCTGAGCACCCTATCTGCATCTCAGCATCCTGTCTCCCTCTGAGCACCCCATCTCCCTCTCAGCACCCCATCGCCCTCCCAGCACTCCATTTCTCTCACAGCACCCCATCTCCCTCTCAGCACCCTATTTCCCTCTCAGCACCCCATTTCCCTCTCAGCACCCTGTCTCCCTCTGAGCACCCCATCTCCCTCTCAGCACCCCACTTCCCTCTCAGCGCCCCACTTCCCTCTCAGCACCCCATCTCTCTCTGAGCATCCTCACTGCTGCCATGCATCACATCTCCCTCTCAGCACCCCATTTCCCTCTCAGCACCCCATCTCCCTCCCAACATTGTCTCCCCCTGAGCACCCTATCTGCATCTCAGCATCCTGTCTCCCTCTGAGCACCCCATCTCCCTCTCAGCACCCCATCGCCCTCCCAGCACTCCATTTCTCTCACAGCACCCCATCTCCCTCTCAGCACCCTATTTCCCTCTCAGCACCCCATTTCCCTCTCAGCACCCTGTCTCCCTCTGAGCACCCCATCTCCCTCTCAGCACCCCACTTCCCTCTCAGCGCCCCACTTCCCTCTCAGCACCCCATCTCTCTCTGAGCATCCTCACTGCTGCCATGCATCACATCTCCCTCTCAGCACCCCATTTCCCTCTCAGCACCCCATCTCCCTCCCAACATTGTCTCCCCCTGAGCACCCTATCTGCATCTCAGCATCCTGTCTCCCTCTGAGCACCCCATCTCCCTCTCAGCACCCCATCGCCCTCCCAGCACTCCATTTCTCTCACAGCACCCCATCTCCCTCTCAGCACCCTATTTCCCTCTCAGCACCCCATTTCCCTCTCAGCACCCTGTCTCCCTCTGAGCACCCCATCTCCCTCTCAGCACCCCACTTCCCTCTCAGCGCCCCACTTCCCTCTCAGCACCCCATCTCTCTCTGAGCATCCTCACTGCTGCCATGCATCACATCTCCCTCTCAGCACCCCATTTCCCTCTCAGCACCCCATCTCCCTCCCAACATTGTCTCCCCCTGAGCACCCTATCTGCATCTCAGCATCCTGTCTCCCTCTGAGCACCCCATCTCCCTCTCAGCACCCCATCGCCCTCCCAGCACTCCATTTCTCTCACAGCACCCCATCTCCCTCTCAGCACCCTATTTCCCTCTCAGCACCCCATTTCCCTCTCAGCACCCTGTCTCCCTCTGAGCACCCCATCTCCCTCTCAGCACCCCACTTCCCTCTCAGCGCCCCACTTCCCTCTCAGCACCCCATCTCTCTCTGAGCATCCTCACTGCTGCCATGCATCACATCTCCCTCTCAGCACCCCATTTCCCTCTCAGCACCCCATCTCCCTCCCAACATTGTCTCCCCCTGAGCACCCTATCTGCATCTCAGCATCCTGTCTCCCTCTGAGCACCCCATCTCCCTCTCAGCACCCCATCGCCCTCCCAGCACTCCATTTCTCTCACAGCACCCCATCTCCCTCTCAGCACCCTATTTCCCTCTCAGCACCCCATTTCCCTCTCAGCACCCTGTCTCCCTCTGAGCACCCCATCTCCCTCTCAGCACCCCACTTCCCTCTCAGCGCCCCACTTCCCTCTCAGCACCCCATCTCTCTCTGAGCATCCTCACTGCTGCCATGCATCACATCTCCCTCTCAGCACCCCATTTCCCTCTCAGCACCCCATCTCCCTCCCAACATTGTCTCCCCCTGAGCACCCTATCTGCATCTCAGCATCCTGTCTCCCTCTGAGCACCCCATCTCCCTCTCAGCACCCCATCGCCCTCCCAGCACTCCATTTCTCTCACAGCACCCCATCTCCCTCTCAGCACCCTATTTCCCTCTCAGCACCCCATTTCCCTCTCAGCACCCTGTCTCCCTCTGAGCACCCCATCTCCCTCTCAGCACCCCACTTCCCTCTCAGCGCCCCACTTCCCTCTCAGCACCCCATCTCTCTCTGAGCATCCTCACTGCTGCCATGCATCACATCTCCCTCTCAGCACCCCATTTCCCTCTCAGCACCCCATCTCCCTCCCAACATTGTCTCCCCCTGAGCACCCTATCTGCATCTCAGCATCCTGTCTCCCTCTGAGCACCCCATCTCCCTCTCAGCACCCCATCGCCCTCCCAGCACTCCATTTCTCTCACAGCACCCCATCTCCCTCTCAGCACCCTATTTCCCTCTCAGCACCCCATTTCCCTCTCAGCACCCTGTCTCCCTCTGAGCACCCCATCTCCCTCTCAGCACCCCACTTCCCTCTCAGCGCCCCACTTCCCTCTCAGCACCCCATCTCTCTCTGAGCATCCTCACTGCTGCCATGCATCACATCTCCCTCTCAGCACCCCATTTCCCTCTCAGCACCCCATCTCCCTCCCAACATTGTCTCCCCCTGAGCACCCTATCTGCATCTCAGCATCCTGTCTCCCTCTGAGCACCCCATCTCCCTCTCAGCACCCCATCGCCCTCCCAGCACTCCATTTCTCTCACAGCACCCCATCTCCCTCTCAGCACCCTATTTCCCTCTCAGCACCCCATTTCCCTCTCAGCACCCTGTCTCCCTCTGAGCACCCCATCTCCCTCTCAGCACCCCACTTCCCTCTCAGCGCCCCACTTCCCTCTCAGCACCCCATCTCTCTCTGAGCATCCTCACTGCTGCCATGCATCACATCTCCCTCTCAGCACCCCATTTCCCTCTCAGCACCCCATCTCCCTCCCAACATTGTCTCCCCCTGAGCACCCTATCTGCATCTCAGCATCCTGTCTCCCTCTGAGCACCCCATCTCCCTCTCAGCACCCCATCGCCCTCCCAGCACTCCATTTCTCTCACAGCACCCCATCTCCCTCTCAGCACCCTATTTCCCTCTCAGCACCCCATTTCCCTCTCAGCACCCTGTCTCCCTCTGAGCACCCCATCTCCCTCTCAGCACCCCACTTCCCTCTCAGCGCCCCACTTCCCTCTCAGCACCCCATCTCTCTCTGAGCATCCTCACTGCTGCCATGCATCACATCTCCCTCTCAGCACCCCATTTCCCTCTCAGCACCCCATCTCCCTCCCAACATTGTCTCCCCCTGAGCACCCTATCTGCATCTCAGCATCCTGTCTCCCTCTGAGCACCCCATCTCCCTCTCAGCACCCCATCGCCCTCCCAGCACTCCATTTCTCTCACAGCACCCCATCTCCCTCTCAGCACCCTATTTCCCTCTCAGCACCCCATTTCCCTCTCAGCACCCTGTCTCCCTCTGAGCACCCCATCTCCCTCTCAGCACCCCACTTCCCTCTCAGCGCCCCACTTCCCTCTCAGCACCCCATCTCTCTCTGAGCATCCTCACTGCTGCCATGCATCACATCTCCCTCTCAGCACCCCATTTCCCTCTCAGCACCCCATCTCCCTCCCAACATTGTCTCCCCCTGAGCACCCTATCTGCATCTCAGCATCCTGTCTCCCTCTGAGCACCCCATCTCCCTCTCAGCACCCCATCGCCCTCCCAGCACTCCATTTCTCTCACAGCACCCCATCTCCCTCTCAGCACCCTATTTCCCTCTCAGCACCCCATTTCCCTCTCAGCACCCTGTCTCCCTCTGAGCACCCCATCTCCCTCTCAGCACCCCACTTCCCTCTCAGCGCCCCACTTCCCTCTCAGCACCCCATCTCTCTCTGAGCATCCTCACTGCTGCCATGCATCACATCTCCCTCTCAGCACCCCATTTCCCTCTCAGCACCCCATCTCCCTCCCAACATTGTCTCCCCCTGAGCACCCTATCTGCATCTCAGCATCCTGTCTCCCTCTGAGCACCCCATCTCCCTCTCAGCACCCCATCGCCCTCCCAGCACTCCATTTCTCTCACAGCACCCCATCTCCCTCTCAGCACCCTATTTCCCTCTCAGCACCCCATTTCCCTCTCAGCACCCTGTCTCCCTCTGAGCACCCCATCTCCCTCTCAGCACCCCACTTCCCTCTCAGCGCCCCACTTCCCTCTCAGCACCCCATCTCTCTCTGAGCATCCTCACTGCTGCCATGCATCACATCTCCCTCTCAGCACCCCATTTCCCTCTCAGCACCCCATCTCCCTCCCAACATTGTCTCCCCCTGAGCACCCTATCTGCATCTCAGCATCCTGTCTCCCTCTGAGCACCCCATCTCCCTCTCAGCACCCCATCGCCCTCCCAGCACTCCATTTCTCTCACAGCACCCCATCTCCCTCTCAGCACCCTATTTCCCTCTCAGCACCCCATTTCCCTCTCAGCACCCTGTCTCCCTCTGAGCACCCCATCTCCCTCTCAGCACCCCACTTCCCTCTCAGCGCCCCACTTCCCTCTCAGCACCCCATCTCTCTCTGAGCATCCTCACTGCTGCCATGCATCACATCTCCCTCTCAGCACCCCATTTCCCTCTCAGCACCCCATCTCCCTCCCAACATTGTCTCCCCCTGAGCACCCTATCTGCATCTCAGCATCCTGTCTCCCTCTGAGCACCCCATCTCCCTCTCAGCACCCCATCGCCCTCCCAGCACTCCATTTCTCTCACAGCACCCCATCTCCCTCTCAGCACCCTATTTCCCTCTCAGCACCCCATTTCCCTCTCAGCACCCTGTCTCCCTCTGAGCACCCCATCTCCCTCTCAGCACCCCACTTCCCTCTCAGCGCCCCACTTCCCTCTCAGCACCCCATCTCTCTCTGAGCATCCTCACTGCTGCCATGCATCACATCTCCCTCTCAGCACCCCATTTCCCTCTCAGCACCCCATCTCCCTCCCAACATTGTCTCCCCCTGAGCACCCTATCTGCATCTCAGCATCCTGTCTCCCTCTGAGCACCCCATCTCCCTCTCAGCACCCCATCGCCCTCCCAGCACTCCATTTCTCTCACAGCACCCCATCTCCCTCTCAGCACCCTATTTCCCTCTCAGCACCCCATTTCCCTCTCAGCACCCTGTCTCCCTCTGAGCACCCCATCTCCCTCTCAGCACCCCACTTCCCTCTCAGCGCCCCACTTCCCTCTCAGCACCCCATCTCTCTCTGAGCATCCTCACTGCTGCCATGCATCACATCTCCCTCTCAGCACCCCATTTCCCTCTCAGCACCCCATCTCCCTCCCAACATTGTCTCCCCCTGAGCACCCTATCTGCATCTCAGCATCCTGTCTCCCTCTGAGCACCCCATCTCCCTCTCAGCACCCCATCGCCCTCCCAGCACTCCATTTCTCTCACAGCACCCCATCTCCCTCTCAGCACCCTATTTCCCTCTCAGCACCCCATTTCCCTCTCAGCACCCTGTCTCCCTCTGAGCACCCCATCTCCCTCTCAGCACCCCACTTCCCTCTCAGCGCCCCACTTCCCTCTCAGCACCCCATCTCTCTCTGAGCATCCTCACTGCTGCCATGCATCACATCTCCCTCTCAGCACCCCATTTCCCTCTCAGCACCCCATCTCCCTCCCAACATTGTCTCCCCCTGAGCACCCTATCTGCATCTCAGCATCCTGTCTCCCTCTGAGCACCCCATCTCCCTCTCAGCACCCCATCGCCCTCCCAGCACTCCATTTCTCTCACAGCACCCCATCTCCCTCTCAGCACCCTATTTCCCTCTCAGCACCCCATTTCCCTCTCAGCACCCTGTCTCCCTCTGAGCACCCCATCTCCCTCTCAGCACCCCACTTCCCTCTCAGCGCCCCACTTCCCTCTCAGCACCCCATCTCTCTCTGAGCATCCTCACTGCTGCCATGCATCACATCTCCCTCTCAGCACCCCATTTCCCTCTCAGCACCCCATCTCCCTCCCAACATTGTCTCCCCCTGAGCACCCTATCTGCATCTCAGCATCCTGTCTCCCTCTGAGCACCCCATCTCCCTCTCAGCACCCCATCGCCCTCCCAGCACTCCATTTCTCTCACAGCACCCCATCTCCCTCTCAGCACCCTATTTCCCTCTCAGCACCCCATTTCCCTCTCAGCACCCTGTCTCCCTCTGAGCACCCCATCTCCCTCTCAGCACCCCACTTCCCTCTCAGCGCCCCACTTCCCTCTCAGCACCCCATCTCTCTCTGAGCATCCTCACTGCTGCCATGCATCACATCTCCCTCTCAGCACCCCATTTCCCTCTCAGCACCCCATCTCCCTCCCAACATTGTCTCCCCCTGAGCACCCTATCTGCATCTCAGCATCCTGTCTCCCTCTGAGCACCCCATCTCCCTCTCAGCACCCCATCGCCCTCCCAGCACTCCATTTCTCTCACAGCACCCCATCTCCCTCTCAGCACCCTATTTCCCTCTCAGCACCCCATTTCCCTCTCAGCACCCTGTCTCCCTCTGAGCACCCCATCTCCCTCTCAGCACCCCACTTCCCTCTCAGCGCCCCACTTCCCTCTCAGCACCCCATCTCTCTCTGAGCATCCTCACTGCTGCCATGCATCACATCTCCCTCTCAGCACCCCATTTCCCTCTCAGCACCCCATCTCCCTCCCAACATTGTCTCCCCCTGAGCACCCTATCTGCATCTCAGCATCCTGTCTCCCTCTGAGCACCCCATCTCCCTCTCAGCACCCCATCGCCCTCCCAGCACTCCATTTCTCTCACAGCACCCCATCTCCCTCTCAGCACCCTATTTCCCTCTCAGCACCCCATTTCCCTCTCAGCACCCTGTCTCCCTCTGAGCACCCCATCTCCCTCTCAGCACCCCACTTCCCTCTCAGCGCCCCACTTCCCTCTCAGCACCCCATCTCTCTCTGAGCATCCTCACTGCTGCCATGCATCACATCTCCCTCTCAGCACCCCATTTCCCTCTCAGCACCCCATCTCCCTCCCAACATTGTCTCCCCCTGAGCACCCTATCTGCATCTCAGCATCCTGTCTCCCTCTGAGCACCCCATCTCCCTCTCAGCACCCCATCGCCCTCCCAGCACTCCATTTCTCTCACAGCACCCCATCTCCCTCTCAGCACCCTATTTCCCTCTCAGCACCCCATTTCCCTCTCAGCACCCTGTCTCCCTCTGAGCACCCCATCTCCCTCTCAGCACCCCACTTCCCTCTCAGCGCCCCACTTCCCTCTCAGCACCCCATCTCTCTCTGAGCATCCTCACTGCTGCCATGCATCACATCTCGCGGCCGTTTCGCCTTCACGCTCAGGGAGGAGGCGCAAACGCCGCGGGATCCCCTAATGCCCAATTAGGGTCTTTAATGAGCGGATTTCCTCTCCCCTTCCGCATGCGGGGCTCGATCCCGGCTGAGACATTTTCCCTGGGAAGGGGGAAAAACGCCGCTGGAAAAGGCCTGGCTGGCGGCAGGGCTGGCGCCACACGTCCCAGCGTTGCGTCGCCTGGCACGACGCGTCCTGCTGTCGCGTGTCCCAGCGCGGCATCGCGTGTCCTGGCATTGCGCGCGTGGGCACCGCGTGTCCCAGGATCACATCTCGGCATGGCAGGTCCTGGCTTCATCACGGGTCCCGGCATCAGGGTGGTGCACGTCCCAGCATCGCCCATCCCGGGATTGCGTCTCCTGGCATCGCGGGTCCCGGCATTTCGTGTTCCGGGATCGCATGTCCCGGTGTGGTGTGTCTTGGTGTTGCGTGTCCCAAGGATGACATGGCCCGGCACCTCCTGTCCTGGCATCTCCTGTCCTGGCATCTCCTGTCCCGGCACCTTGTGTCCTGGGATTGTGTGGTCCCGGGATTGCGTGTCCTGGGATTGCGTGTCCGAGGATTGCGTGTCCTGGGATTGTGTGTCCCGGCTTCCCATGTCCTGGCATCGCGTACCTTGGTGTTGCACGTCCCAGCACCGCCTGTCCCAGGATTGCATCTCCTGGAGTTGTGTATCCCGGCATTTCGTGTTCTGGGATTGCATGTCCCGGTGTGGTATCTTGGTGTTGCATGTCCCAGCATCCCATGTCCCAACGTCCCATGTCCGGATCACATGTTTGTCTTGCATGTCCCAAGCATGACATGGCCCAACACCTCCTGCCATGGCATCGCATGTCCCAGCATCGCATGTCCCAGAATTGCATATCCCGGCATCGCGTATCCCAGCATCGCATGTCCTGGGATTGCGCATCCCAGCATCGTACGTCCCGGCATCGCGTATCCCAGCATCGTGTATCCCGGCATCGCATGTCCCGGGATTGCGTATCCCAGCGTCGTGCGTCCTGGCATCGTGTATCCCAGTATCGCGTGTCCCAGCGTCACATATCCCGGCATCGTGTATCCCGGCACGGCCTGTCCTGACGGTGCGCATCCCGGCATGGCACACCCCAACGTCCCTCATCCCGACGTTGTGTTCCCCAGCACGGGGTCCCAGCAGGCTCCTCTCTGAACGCTCAGGCCTCTCATTTTGGGAGAGAAAAGGTCCCTTTGGGCCCCGAGCTGACATTTTTCTGGGTACAATGCTGCCCGCGGGCACCGGGGCGGGGAGCCTCCACACTGGCGCCTGCCCCCGCCCGGAGGTGACCCTGCGGGGCCCACCGGGG